ATTGCACATTGCAAGCAAGCCCTGGAGCATTTCCAAAGCACCTCCTAAATGTCTCAGGCCTTCAAGGACCTCCAAGATTCTAATAATTATTCTTTCCCACCATTTCTTGCTGTTATCAATTCAGCTCACACAAGAGGCCAGTGAGAAAGCAGCCTAAAAAAAATGTCACCAATGTGCTGACAGCCGCTCACCTGCTGCACATCCACCTCTCAGCGTGCCAATCCCCAGCCCTCCTCCAGCCCTGGGAGCTTCGCAGCAAGGTGAAGGTACCACCACAACACCTATCATAAAATGGGGTCATGGAACGCTAGGGGAATAAACCACCACCACAAATAATCCTCTTTGGACTTACAGTTTTATCTGTGTGAGGGAGATCTTTTCATCCTAAGCAGATGCTGCAAGCTCCAGCCTGTGGCTGTGACTATTGAAACAGCAGCACAGCAACCAAATTCCTGCAGACAGCAGGGGATCCCCGACAGGTGGAGGGCTGGCAGGGCAGTGTGGGGGTGGTACGCTGGAGACTTGGCTATGAAGATGAGATGGCTGCAGTAAGTACAACAGGGAGATCCGAAGGGGGACATCTCAGACCCGGCTGATCCAGGCTTAGGTGCAAACAACTTTCTGCCTCCCCTTCCAGCTGCCTTTGCCGTTCACAGCACTCCATGTCTGTCAGAGGACTTGAGAAGCAATGAGAGAGACAATAAAATTCTGAAGTGAAGAGCTCTTTAAATATTAGCTCAGCTGGTATTATCATACATTTTTCCAAGTTCAAACATGATAAAGTGATTTGAGAGTTTGCCAACTCCATATTCAGGGGAAACATGCAGAGAGGAGAAATGTTGATATCTTTGATGTAAGTTTTTCTTTTCTTTCTCTTTCTGTTTACTTTAAACAACATTCTCCTTAACTCATTTCAGAAGCTATCAGAAAATACTGCAAATTACACAACAGCTTTAGCAGCACAAAGTTGCAGGTGGCAAGATATTTATTTACCAAGAGAAGCTATCCATGAATGGAGGAGTTATCCCAAAGAAATGGTTATTTTCTTTGCCATTTTATTCACATAAAAAGCCCTATTGAATTTCTGCTATTCAATCATTTATTATGCAGTGGCTGAGAGAGCTGGCTTTTACATTCTCCCCCACGTTAGTGAGAAGAAACAATCCTTAAAAACAAATTCCTGAAATGACAATGAACTTACGGTTCCCACTATTTAGTAAGCAGCCCCAAACATTTCCCTCCCTCGCTGTCACAGATGCACGCAGCAAAAAATACTGCAAAAAGAAGGGGAGAAAAGAAAAAAGAAAAGAGGAAGGATCCGGCATCTAGGGCGCTTCTGAGGTGCCTTGACTTGGATGCGCATTTCCCCACGCAGGCTGAGGTTCGGAGGGCCAAGAACAGTCCAGCCTTTCCAGAAGTAAAGCCACCACTGCAAAGGGGCCGTGATAAGATGAGCCCCAGCCCACAGGCAGCCCTTCTCACGTGTGAAGTGAGCACACTGCTCTATTTTGCACAGCTTATTCTAGCATACATTGCAAGGCTGAATAACTGATATGAAGACAAGGCGCTTCAGGTTGAGACCAGCCCATCTCCATTCCACCTCCTTCCTGTGCCCCATGAAACTGGACGGCCTGCTGAAAAACTGCATGAATGCACAACAATACAGAGGGATGTAATAATATAACTAAGTTTACTTAATCCTCTTTCAGAATACCACAGGAAAAAAAAAAAAAGCAATATTCATTACACTTGGCAAAAGCAAGAATGGTAAGCTGCAGCCAAAGCAATCTCGAATGCTTGCTTATTTCCTTGTCTTCTTTAAAGCTTTTTTTTTTTTTTTGAGTTTTTTCCTCTTTTTTTTCCTTGAATCCTTCTGCACTGGCATGTTCACTAAATGCAGACAGAAGGTAATTATATATCATGACTCATTAGCAGAAAAAAGAGAAGTGGGAGCAAAAGCAATAGGTGGGTAGGGGTAAATTTACCATCTAATGATTTAAAATTTGGGACTCCAGCTCTCAGGGGGGAAAAGGGAAGGAATTCAGTCACTCCGCCTGTGAAATTCTAGGACACTAAAGGTCTACTAAAATCATTTCATCACAACATCATTAGACCATCCCAAGGAAACTAGTTGTATCAACTGATGGCCTCTTAGTTCTTTTCTGGCACCTTGAAGAAGAATGGTCAAATTGAACAAAGGAAAAACAAAAAGCACTGAGGAAGGAAAGCAGAGAAGTCTTAGAAAAAACCCCCATAAAACCATTGAGCCATGGCATAAAAATCCAAGGCCCGATTTCAGCCCCTGGCACCGACCACACAGCCCCACGCTTGTCCTTCACTGCCAGCTGCAATGCCAACCTGGCCTCTTCCTGCTCCTCCTCACGAGACCAGAAATAAATCAGGAGTTATGTTTCAACATGTTCCTTCTATACTACCGAACAAAGGAGTCCACTACACTGTAAAGCAAATAACATAAATAATTTAAAAAAGGGAAGTGAAATACATGGAAAGCCAGAAAATCTTCATTTCATCCACAGTCATTTCATACAAACTTCTCCCTTTAATAGCCACCGTGTTCCATAATCATTAAAACTGTTTAGCTAGATCCTTTTAAAAAGATATTTTTCTTTTGGCTGTATCACAGCAAAGGATACTCTGCTTACCCTCTTCGAATTTTAAAATGTGGACTTAAGGACCCAAGAGAACAGAATAAATTTTCTGCTATTTTAAAGAATTAGAATGTGTTGGAGAAAGACAGTGCTTGGCTGGGAGCTGGTTTATTAAAAGGATGTTGCAGCTAGAGAGTGGAAAAAATAGGACAAAGCATCCAGTGGGAGCCATTGTTCTCCTTAGGGCAGGCAGCAGAACTAGAGATTTACTCTGGGAGGAAATTCAGAGTAGTTCAAGCCTACTGCAGGAGATAAAAACTCATCTATCCATCAAGTAGCAGATCCATCCTGTACAGCTGCATCTTCTTATTCAGCTGGTAGAAATGAAGCTCAGCACAGCTTAGCAGCAAATTTGCCATCAAAAGGAAAGAATTACTGACAACATCTGCGTGAGAGCAAGCAGAGGCTGCTGTTTTGCTCAGCACACCAGGCTTTTACAAGAAGCTTCTGAAGACAAAAAAACAAAGGTGTGGCAGAAAAAGGCCAACTCTCTCCTGGTCCCTCCCATGGGTGGGCTGAGAGGGGTTCACACATCATCGGCCATGGCCTGCACAGAACATTACTGAGCTGAACGATTTCAAGTGCTCAGCCCCAGGCTCAGCTACCAACCCGCAGCTTACCGCCCTCAGCAGGAGCTAAGAACCACATGTGCAACTCACCAAGCAATGGCAAAGCAGATAAAATCCACTCACAATTAGCCAGAATTTTCTAATAATGTCTGAGTTCTGGTTGAGAACAGTGGAAGAAGTTTGCTTAGAGCTATCTGGTTTAGATAAAAACCTTTTTTCTATGAGATTTTTAATTTCATTACTGAAAAATCAAGACAATTGGGACAGCAAGTATCAAACAGATGAAAAGAAGGCTTTGTATCAAAATGCAGAAGGTTTAAGTGTGTTTTCCAGCTACAGATGTTATCTACAGTTACCCCAACTCCTTTAAAAATATCATCCTAAATCCTTACTAATCTCAACTCAGACAATTGAGCTTTACTCCAAGTAGGTCCCCAGATGACGCTGCAGGGAGTATCAACACTCACACACCTCTTGGTGTGGGAATCTGCTCAGGCAGGCAGCAATAGTAATAGTAAAGCAACTGCTTACAGCAGCAATCTGCAAAGTACTCTTTTTCCTGGCTGGCACCAACTGTATTGCATTGCTTTCTTCAGATGGGATCAATACCAGCCCCCTAATTTAGAATCCACAATATGAAAGCACAGCTTCAAGGGTGAGCTTCAAACAGTCAAAACATCACTGTCCTTAGAATAGGGCATAAGAGCCTCAATGACTTCAATAAAATAAGTCAGGGTTTCCTGTTCACACCATGACTTCCAGAATATTGGTTACTCTTATTATCTCACACTTGTAAACATTCTGCACATTAAGCCACAGCAGATTAAACGCTATGATTTCTGTGCTCGCACAGACAAACCCAACATTACAAACCTATACACATATAAGCCCTCTGGCTAATGTAAGCATTGAGCTCTTGCAAACTTAATTAAAACAAAAGAACAAGTAACCTCTTGAGCAGAAAATAGGGAGCAGAAGCCAGTGTCTGTGACCCTTCGGCCCAAGAGCCTTTGTTATTACAATACAAAATACACTAACTGCATTTTGGAAGCCCTAGCAATTTTCAGCTTTAATGCAACCCAAGTCTGCATCAGGTTCAGTCACAGCATAACCAGCACTGCAATTCTCTCCAATTTAATACCAATAATCCCACATAGGAAAGAAATCATAACTCTTAACTATTATTTGCAATGACATCCGCCTTTTAACTTTAAGCAGCGTTCTTTAAACATTTCTAAACTTTTCCTATTTCTTCCCTGTGCCTTGATATGAATTTGCCTGTCACCGCAGGCTGTACACAAAGAGAGACACAGACACCGAGCACAAAGATATCAGGAAGTGGTTTTCCTAGCAACAGTAATCATCTGAGAGATCCCAGAACATCCTTCCTATTCATGCAGCATTTTGTGTTTTGAATAGTGCTGACAGGTGAAGTGGATTCATAGTATTTAATACAAAAAATATTGCTGTGGATGGGTATGGCACAAAAGCAAAAATATCCACACTATTCATGAACAGATGAATTCACTGTTTTCATAATGTTCCAGATTATTCACTAAGGCACAATTTCAAAAGCAAAGACGTTCCCCTTCCCACAGAATGAATAATCCAGTGTGCTCTGCTGAAGCAGAGTCACCAGGTGCTTTTCCAACAGCGATTCTGCATCTCCAAATCCCACTCACCCTATCTATCAATAACCAAATTTTTCCACCCATCCAGAGCTGGGCTTTTCCATCTCATTCCTTAAGGGCAAAGTGCTTACCTGCCAGTGACTGCAGGGAGGCCTCTGCTCCAAGCAAGCCAGCTTTCATTCTCACGTGCCAGGCGCAGATAGCAAGGCTGAACTTGTTTTCCAGAAAGTCCTCTGTCATGCAGGTTTCACGTGCTGGTTCCACTGCAGACACAACGCTGGGATGTGGTTCTGTGCTGCAATCCCTGGTGGGAGCTGAGGCACGCAGGAGGGACGGGCATTACAGCAGGTGATACAGCCGTTCTGCAAAGACAAGGCATTAAAGACTCAAAATTCTCGCTGTCCTGCAGGGCCTGTCAGATCCCATAAAACAAAGCTTCTTCAGTTTTGCCCTCAAATTTTTCCAAAGTTTAAGGTCTGATTCCTTATCTGCTACCTGCTGAAAACACAAAACATTACTTTTCTTCCTGGGGCACACCTCAGTTGTTCCCTTGCCTTTCCTTTCCTGCACTGAACACTCCTTCCATAGAAGTCTCTCTGTGAACCTATGGATTCAACAGGAGCATCGCAGCCTCCCCACAAATCTTCTCAAGCAGTCATTGACTTATTATCTAGAACGTTCTAAATCTGGCTTTTTTTTTCCCCTGAAGGTCTTCTCAGTTTTTTGTTTAGAAGGCATTATTACCACTCTCTTAAGAAAGTTCTCTAGTCTCTTCCAACACCTACTTAGGTTTTATTCTGCCTTTAACTTTCTCTGCGTTTTGAGTCTTTTAGTTGTCAGTGTATTAAGCCATTTCCTTCCTTCCTACCTACACCTGTATAATGGAAATGTCATCAAATCCTTGGCTACAAGCGTGCTGGAGGATGGGACTTATTACCTGGACAATTTGTTACTGGTTCAGATTTTTATGCGTTGAAAGTAATAAAAAAATAAATTGAAGGGATACATTCAGAACAGATGTGAACAGGTATAACTAATGGGAGATTCAGAGAAAACTAAATAGGGACAAACGGTGGTGTAAATTACAATGCCAGGTTTAAGCTGATTTTAAAGGGAAACCAGCAAGTTGGTTTTCCTGGATGTGGAATTCAGAGAGCTCAGCTGAGCTGCAGTTGAAATATGCAGGGTATGGATTGTAAGTGTGTGTGATAAGAGAACTACTAATATGAAGCTGTAAGATAGCAGAAGATTATTCAGCTTCCTTCTGCTCTCTAGAGCCTTTATGTTGAATACACTCTCTCCATTTGCCCTCTATCTTCTGTAGTCATTTAAACTGATGCAAAGTGGTGATAAAGTGCAACTGTTCCAGTAAAACTTGCACACTTGCTTTGTGCAACTCTTAATCCTCATGCATGACATGTTGCACATCCTAGAGCATGATATAAAAACACGGGCTTCTAACTTCCTCTTGATAGACACTTGTCTCCTTTACCCTTTAAAAAGTGTCTTCAGTTTTCAAATAAAGATTTTGAAAATGCATCCCATTAAAAGTTACACTAAAATTCTTGAGTCACGAGTATCTTATAACCTTCCAGAAACAGTCATTGATATTTAAAAAACACAAAATCCTTCACTGGCTTCAGAAGTGCCAAGGAAAGTAATGCTATATTCTAACCAAATCTGCTCCCCGCAACTTGCAAACAGCTTGAGTATCTATAACGAGCTAAAATAAGTCTTTAGATTGAAGCACTAATTAGGTTGAGTTGCTTGTCTCCAGTTACAAATCTGAGTTTCACGCATTACCTAGTTTCCAGGAACTGTCCCATAGACTTACTTGTTTACTTTTATAAAGGTAGCATTGAGCAGCTTCATTTTCAAGGACAAGACAGGCAGATACAGACAGCCAAATTCATGACTGCCCCAAACATGCTCCCCTCCCACCCAGCTGCGGTGGCCTCAATACAGTGAGGTGAAGGTGACTTACAGCATTCGGGAATCACAGCTCCACTGAAACTCTGAACAACCAAACCATCCAATGCTGCTCACTGAAATCACTAGCCACCACTCTGCTTACAAGCAGGACATAACATTATATGCTGTGCTTTTATGAGATTGAAGCTAATTTGAAACAATTCTCTAGTAACACCATCAATAAAAGCTTATGGGAAAACCCTGTTCCATATCCTCTGGCTACTGACACAACACTGCTGATACACAAACCAAAACTGATGGCCCTGGTAACAGATTCTCCTGACACAGTGACATTTACACCAAGAAAAAAGCTACCTGTGCTAAAGACAGAACCACCTTAATCCAGGTTGTGGGGATACCGGCAGAAGCTGAGAACAGGAGGAGACAGAGCATCTGCCATGAAAAAGGACAGACCTTAACATGCAAATAAGAAGGATTTAGGAGGTGTGAAGAGAATAGAGACCGAAACACCACAATACCAGTAACAAGGTATTTCAGCACTCATTTAATTTAGTGTTAAGTTTCTGAGGTGCTGGACTGGAACTTCGGTTACCTTACACAAGTTCTCAGCTTTGCCACAGATATTCTGCACCACTCACCCAGACACACAGCAAAGCACCTTGGGCAGCTTCCCCGTTCTTTCCAGGCAGTAAGTCCTACACGACACCTGCATGCCTTTACTGCCACGTTTACATGTCAGATTGAAGCTGGGTCACTCAAAAATCATTGGGGTTTCACTCCATAAATAGCCTGGGTCTCACTTAGCAATGGCACGCTGCCATACAACGTACTTCTAAAAATTCTATTAGCTCTAATGGAGTACCAACGACTAAGAGCAGCAATATGCATTCACAAGCCAACCTTGAATAGAATGTATCTGTTAAATAGAAAGCAGCAGGTTCTACTGCACACGACATCATCTTCCGTTTTCACAGGAGTCCACTTCCTCAGCAGATACAGCCCCGTCTCAAGTGCATCTACCTCATTACCTATGTTCAGAGCTTCAGAGAAATAAAAGGCTGATATTCTTAGCATAAAGCAAATGGAGAGAAAAAAAATCAGCTGTATGAACTTGGAAGCAAGCTCCACTGGCACCATTGCTTTGAGCAAGATGCTATCTGACATCTTTTGGCTGAACAAGTCCCTTTTGTGGGGAGGATTGTACAGCAAATATTTCTGAGTAGCATAATGTTTGTTGGATATTGCTCTGTTAGGGCAGCTTGTGTTTTCACTCTATTCTGCTTTTGTATGCGAGGGTGTGGAATTTGTTAATCTAAATAAAACTCAAAATAGACAGCATGGTTTAAAGAGCTGCTGACGCCTGGTGGGAAATTTTGAAAGAGTTCTCTGTTAAAAAGCAATCCTCTGCATGAGTTTATCTCCAAGCTTTGCTTCCCTCAGTCTGCTGCCAGGGAGGTTTCCAAGAACTGGATCTAGCTGTTTAATGGGAGCACTGCACTTTCGGTGCAATATGAGCCATTAACTTTGTTTTTCAAGTGTTTATATGCATTCTGCTACTGACCTGTCACTGCACATATCTCTGCTTCAGAGAAGTGGACTGAGATGAAAGGATGAAAGTGTACTTGCATTCTGAATTGTGATTAGTTATTCCTCAAGCTGCATATGGATAGCTAATTAGTTTTGTTCTCAGAGAGCATTTCTGTTCAAAACCCCACATCAAGTATCTGCTCTGGACACCTCTTCCTCAGACACTTCACCAGAGTCCAGCAGAGCTGCACTGCGCCTTTTTGGAGGCTTGGCACCACTTCCCCTTGCACTGCTCACAGAGAGACAGGCTCAGCTTCCTTCTGCTGAGATGACTTTTCCTTTGGTGAACAGAGTTCGTTACCTCAACAGACATTCAGCAACAAGAGCTCTTCCCCCATTACAGTGATCTCTCTCCATGCAGTCTTCAGCTAATTTCAGGTTCATCTTTACCTGTTTATTTCTTGTTGTCACACAAATTCCCTCTTGCTTCAACTCTGCCTCCAGGTGAAGACAAACTGAAGCCTTATGCAATAGGTCTCTCCAGAAATCAGTCTGTTTGAATGGAGAGGCACCCAGAACTGCCTCATTTCCCCTGTAATAGGCATTAACTATGCAATAACCTTTAAACCTTTAAGTCTCCATCAAACTTAAAACAATTCCTTTCTAGATATCTGGTTTTAAGTTAAGATTTCAGTTTTTGAACAAACATCCAACCCAGCTTCCACCAGTTATCAAAATCTGGAAAAAAAAACACCTGCATGCACTTTCAAACCAACATCAGAAGACCTTCACCAGCATTCACGCAGAAGCTCACATCACAGCAGCTTGAGCTCTACAGAGATGTTGACTTTCAGAAATTCTTTAGATGGTCAAATCTGAGTTTTGAAGTTTTCTGGTTAATCTAACAGTGTAAAACTCCTTTTTTTTCTTCATTGTGACTTCCTTTGACAGAAAAAAAGCGTTAACAAGTAATACTGTAATAAAGGGATCTGACTAGCATGAAAAATGGGTCCTATCAGCCATTCAGGTAAGAGGCTCTTCATTTCAGGCATGCAGTGCCTGGGTAAAGCTGGGGGAAAATAAACTATCAAGAATTGCCAGAATCAGGAAAGCCCACACTTTTGTGTCTGACCATTTGTCTTGATGTGGAGCTCAAAGTAATGCTAAGAAAACCACAGTGCAATTCATTTATTCATTAAAGGGTGAAAGCAAATGAGAGAACTTAGGAATTTTTTCTTTCTAAACTTGACTGCACCAACCCACACTGGTTCTTGGATGAACTGTAGGTGCCTCTCCATCACTCACCCGCAGAGGAGACAGACCTACCAAGAAGTATTTGGCCAGTATTAAAGATAAATCACAGCACAGATCACTGCAGCCGTGAACACATTGTGAATGGACTTTTTAAACGTTTATTTTCAGCAGGCAGAACTGAGAAGGAAAAAAGGATGAATGTAGGGAGAAGTGAGGTGCTCAAGGACAGACATCTCTGTTGAGTACTGCACTTCCTATGGGTAAGTGAAAGGACAAATACCAGCTCCTGATAACACTGAGTGTCATGGTTTTATGGCTTTCCCTTGGTATTCCACACCATTTGAGGACAGCTGTAAGCCAGGGATATTTTGTTTTTGTTTACTTTTTAAAACCAAAAGGAAACGTTGAGGCAGAAAATCTCGCAGAAGCAGCTAAACTCCTTCAGACTGTCATCCACGGCACAGGCCCATCTACCAAGTACACAGACTGCTGAGTTCACATCCATGTCCTTCCTTCTCACACACTTCATTCTGGTCTACCTCTAAGCAGAGTCATGAGATTCCATAAGAGATCTGCTTCTGAGAGCCACTGCCATCTGAACACTGCCGTTTTCACACTGGTGGAAAAGATATTTAGATCACCTGTATTA